GAAGGCCACAGCAAGTGTTTTCTACTTTTCACGTACAAGATTTTGGACAAATTCTGCTTCATATGAAAACAAAAAAAGGTCTGCTAATAACGGGGCGCAATTGGTACCCATCGAAATTCCAATAGATTGTTGGAAGACCTGGTCTCCAAAAACCACATAGATATTGTCAATCAGAAACTCAGGCATCTTTTTAATGTCAACTTCAGAGTACTTGTATGTACAATCAGAATGTTTTTTAACAAAATAATTTTGCAAATGACCAGTGACAAGGTTAGTAAATTTACGAGTTCCATTTTTATTGAAAAAGCAGCTGTCAATGATATTATAAAGCCTGGATTTTCATTTATTGTGGGGAATGGTTGTGTATAAAGTTGAAAAGTCGTACGTTTAAGCTGTTGATTTTGGTAAAATCGTGTGATTTCATATTTTCCAAAAGTTCCTTGGAATTTTTAAGTATCCACATCTGATTTACACCACTTCTGGAATCTATTGTTGCACAGTACTCTTGAAGGTTCCCCTTCACTACTGTTAATATCTTAGTGAGGAGTAAAGAAAGAGACCTGGTTGAATATTTACTGGAACCCGCTAGGTACCTTTGTTTGTAAGGATTGAAGTGTTAGAATCCAATATAGATATGTCCAGAAACTACAATGCATGTTGGAAATAATTATGAACTGAACTTAGAATTTTAACTTGGTTATACCCTTGCACTAGTGAAATTTATAGGTGACCTCAAAATTGCAAGTATATGTGCTAAAATCACGTGACTGCCTCATCACGTGAAAAGTCTAAATATAAAATCTAATAGTCCTCAATATGTAGTTATTAACCATAATTACATTTTCCCGATATGAATAATGTACTAAAAGAAGCGCCATCTCGATTAAGAATTTATTTTTAATCACAAAAATAACCGATATTTCCATTGCGCACCTTAACTGCACTGAGTCTGACGTCATCGACAACAATTCAATGATAGAGAGATGAGAATTAGCACACTGTTAATAGAGTAATCACCGACAATGCAGCATAATTACAAAAAAACATGTTGAAAAAATGTTGAAAAATGAATTCCTGCATGCTTTTCAATTACCATAGAAATAGGAAATAGTTCTAATGTATAAAGGTTTGGTAATATTACTATTTTTTATCAAATTTGTAGCCCTGATTACATATAATAGGTCCTTTTAAGGAATTTATGAGAATTATCACTGTAATTTTTTTTTCTTTCTTTTAATTCAATAATCAAAATATTGTGATTTCTTATAGGTTTTTGATAAAGTGTTAAATTTAAGAGTTTTTTTTACTTTGAACACTGACAATATCTTGATTGACCACATGTAATAAATGAGGAAGTAATTTCTTTGAAAAAATCATCGGTTTCAAGGATGTTTTCAAAGCCTATCCATTGGAGAAATTCCTGTAATATCACAAATGCCATTTAAAGATATCTGAAGGCTAGGGAAATTTGAACTTGTATAACAGAGCATGTGAATCAAAACTTTTTTATGAAAAGAAAGAAATGACATATTTTTATCTTTTGTGTGTGATACATAGGTCATTGAAATTAAGCATCAACATTAATTAAATCTTAATAAAGTGCAAAAAGCTTCAGCTGTGGTAGAGTATCTCATTTCATGTACTTCTGATTCTAGAGTCTCTTAGTAACTAAAAAGGAACTTCAGAAGAAAGAAAATTATGTACTTAAAAGACACTTACGATCAAGACTATTTCGCAATACGTAACTGTATATAATTCAAACATTAATATTCAGTACTACTAGACGTTAAGTATATGATTCGTCGAGTGACTTTTCATAAACGAAGCAGGTAATTTTTTTTCCACTATCTTAACTATCTTTAAAACAAATTACAACTCGCATTTGAATCCATATTTTCTCAGGCGCTGATAAAATTTTTTTTAAAAGGGAAAGGGAGGTTAAGAATAAAATATTTCTTTGCTATTACGTATGTTCAGATACATTTACAAATGTATATAAACATGCGTAATATGCAGTTCGAGACTTTGTTTAGAAGGTTTTTAATATTAAAAAATAATTTTGAAGAGCGCTTGTAGAATCAAGAGACTGATACAGATTTCAAATATCTAGCTTACTCTAACTCATAATATTTTCCTCAAAAAAATGTAAACATCTGCCCCTTTGTTTTGTAAACTATTTTGGAAACTGTCTGGGTGATCACTTGATTTACTTATTACAAATAATAAGTAAAGAAATGCTATTAAATGGCGATCTCATGCCCACACCATGGAACGTGCAAACATATTTGGAACAGGGCATAAGACCGGGATCCCCGGGATTCCAGAGATGGGATCAGGTGGAATAATGGGATATGAAAATAACGAACAGTAATCAATGTAAGACGTCCACTGAAACAATACAAATTTGAAGCAGAGTAAACACGGACCTCTAAAAAACATCAGAGGTTGGATCAGGTGCCACTGGGGAGTAAGCATCCCCTGTCAACCGGTCACACCCGCCGTGTGCTGCTCATTGCCATTATCGGGCAAAGAGGAAAATCCATAGACATTTCAGTGAAAATAATGGCCTAACAATTTTGTATGAGAAACGTCAGTCAACATTTGACTTAATATAATGAATAAGTATAGTGGATTTGTGTATTTCCTGCTCAACAGAAATCATGATGTGGACAAACTCAGCAAGTATACGACTTAATGATAGATTGTATAAGTAAACATTATCTGTCAACCAGTCACGCCCTATGTTTTGCTCAGCTAGACGAACATTCTGCAGTCAAATTTAGTATAAAAACAAAGGCCTATCAGTTGGTATGAATCACGTCATCCAAAATACGACCCAATAATAGGTTTTATTATGTAGCCGATAAAAAGTCTATAATTAAAAAAACTATTAAAGTCAAGAGAATTTTAGTGTTCAATATCTTGACGTTTTATTGAAGGCTGAGTTTCCATTATGTATACGAGTATGTCCCGAAACATTACGAATACAAGCGTTCAATATCAAACGCCCCGTTGTACACAAAAAATGTTGTCTGGTCAACCGCTCAACGGCAATATTTATGAAGAGTAGTGGCAGCTAGGTTAGATGTGTCTATTTTCATACAAAATTGATATTATTAATTAATAAATTTGCACCTATTAGCCTCAATAGAAACCTCATTAAGTAAATCATAACGCTTGGTAGGGTCAGTGCAATGATGTGATATTTGAGGAAAGACGTTGATGAAATATGGAGATAACGTATAGTAGTCAAGCTCAAAGTCCATTAAAACAATGCAAATCGGGAGTAGAGCAAACACGGACCTCTAAAAACATCAGCGTTGGGATCAGATACCATGGAGGAGTTGATATTGGAGAGTTTTATATGTAATTTGAATACCGATACTGTATTTTTTCATTCATTTTGAGTTATTTAATTGAAATGATTAATATAAATCAATGATAGATGTTTTAGCTGTGACTAGACAAAATTGCTAACGCACCACTTGTTATTCTTATTTGTGAATTGAACATTTGCCTTGTCGGTAGAAATATATCTAATATGCCTGCCATCTTTCCCAATACAGTAGGGTGAACAAATATCATAGTGTCATGGCAAAACCCTTAAATGACCCTCTTGCCCGAAAACCGATAACCTGACGTTCACTGCGTTCCGTTTTTGCCCAGGTATGAAGTTGATGATTACCAATGGTTGTCCATGAGGTTGCAACAGAAGCAGTTTTCCAGCTAAAAATCAAATATTATACAGCGAATGACTATTATATTTCCCAGTAGTCATCAAGCGCCTTGATGTCCATACACAGTCCACCCAACTTCCGGTTCGCCCAGATTTGTAGAACAATCTTGAAATTGTCGACTGGTGCTTATTTCATGCTGTGGCTATCTATAGTAGACATTTTTTTCCGTTTGTTAATCTATTTGCAACACTTTTTCACTGGAGGAATAAATAATCTTTTAATTGTTTTATTTTTACAAATTTCTCCAAGGGAACCCTATGCAAACATAATACTGACAGCTTTAGCACCCTCTTCTAGGGTAAAATTCGGCATACGGTGTATTTTTTTCCCCTGAGTTTTTAATTTGTACAAACATAAAGAACACAAACACAAAGAAGAAAAAATAGAGATTTATTCTTCCAAGAAAGCATGGGCATCATTCTCATTTTTTCTATGAAATGGTTATGCTTCAGTTAACACTGTAGTTATTTATCAGTTAAAACATTTAAATGCCTTATTTTTACTTAAATAGCATAATTATGTATCCAAAAACATCATAAGGTAGGAAGCTCGTGCACTTGTACAAACATCTCGTACCAATATTCACCAATATAAGTTCAATTGCCCTATAAAATTTGCTAGCAACCTCATTATAACGACCATAGCATTTTATTTTACATTTGGCACAAGCTATCTTTCCTTTTCTGGTCTCAGTCGTATTTCATTTTTGGCCGCATTCGTATTATTTTTATTATTTTTTTTTTGTCTCAGTCTTATTCCTTCTTGCTTCTCAGTTTATTTTCAATTGTTCTCAGTTAATTATTTTTTTCTTATTCTAGGTCGATTTTCTTTTTCGCGTCAGTCCTAATTCTTTTTGGTGTCATCAATCTTTTTTTTTATTTGGTGTCAGTCGCTTTTCTTTTTGGATTCCAGTCGACTTCTTTCTGGTCTCAGTCTCTATTTATTCATTTACTTCTTTCTCTCAGTTCGCTTTTTTTTATTAATTTTTTTTTAAAGCTCATTATTATCCCTTTTTTAGTCTCTTTCTTCTCAAAAAATTTTTTTTTCGGCTTTATTTAGTTTTTGTTTGTCTCAGTCTTATTTTTATTGTCTCAGTAATATTTCTTTTCTGTCTCAGTCATGCCTTTGTTATGGTCTAAGGTTTTTAAATCTCACTATCATTGACCATAAAAACAAATGAAAGTATGGAATAGTTCTTATTTTATGTTTATCAGCCTTCTGTTTTGTTTTAGCTGTACATGTAGTGATTGATATATTACAGAAATGGAGAGGAGAAATTTATTTTTGCCCTGGATTCTTCTTCTTATGATACACATAACGGATTCCTATGCTGATAATCCTTCCATTATTGAAAACATTTCTAGTCGGGGAGAAAAGGATCTTCTAAAAGCTATACTAAGTGCCTTGGGGCAATTTGCAAAAAACCAAGCCATCAAAATGGACGTCATAGAAGAAAAAATTAATGTTTTGAGCGAGAAAATTTCACATTGTAAGTATATGTTATATTGTAATTTTTACCTGTTTGAAATTATTTTAAACAATGACAATGTGAAGAGATAACAAACAATAGATTTAAAAAAAAAGATTATGAAATAAGTAATCCCTTTCAAACAAAAAGTATAACATCAAATAAAAAGTATTTTAATTTTACGAAATGTATGTGTGATTTCTTTCAATAAGAAAAAAGAAAGTAATGTAGCTTTGACATATCTTCATACGAATACCAAAGTAAGGATTTTAATATATATATATATATATATATATATATATATATATATATATATATATATATATATATATATATATATATATATATATATATATATATATATAAGAATTCTGCAAGAAGTGTAAATTTCTTATATGAAAACAGTTTGCAAACGCGTAAATGTTTAATATAATGTATATTAAAAAAAATCTTATATCATAAATATAAGTTAGAAGGTCATATACATAATTTCTCTTACCTACCTTTCCTTCAATTTAAATAGTACTATTCTTTTTTCGATATTCAAAAAAATTGACAATGTGTTACGTATTGATTAAGTTAATGGATGAGGATTGTAAATTCGTAGGTAGGTCTGAAACGTCAATACACGCTTCCAAAACATCAAAACACGGCACAATCAGATCAAGAAAATATGCTCCCATACCAGCATCAACAAAATCAAACACTGCTACATCGATGACGACAATTTCAACGACACCAGCATCATCGGTTTCATCAATAGGTAATATTTTATTTCACTTAATGCATAAAATGTGAAGATAATGGTGAACATTTTCAACAGTCCATTTGGATAATACCAAGTTAATTCAGAACCAAAACATATCTCTGAAAAACAAATGGGATCCACCTCTTAGTTCATGAAACTTGGACAAGCTCACGCCTTGATATCAGTTTAATTTTTACAAAAGGAATTAATAGTGATAAAAAAATGAGACAGATATCAAAAGTGAGCCTGGTGCCGTGGGGTAGTAAGCATTCCCTGTCGGCCCGTCACATCTTCAGTAGGTTTAAAATCCACAAATCTCTAGAGTTTACAGGTATATTTTTCTGAACTCGATACTAATATTTATTCCAGGTAGCAGGGGAAGAGAGTTCCTAATCCTCTTCATGCGAAACCATCCCGAAGTAACAGGGACTGTAGCTATCTACATTACAACAGAAAACAATACTTCCATTAATATCACAACTTCTCCCCATCTAAGTGCGAACATTAAATCAGCAACGGACAGAATGATGAATGTTTCCTCCAATTCCAGTTTCACCCTCCCTTTTAATATGACATGTGAATATTCTACAATTGAAGCCAAGGCCATACTGTTAAAGACATCTGAATTGTCGACCGTATCTATCCTCGATAGTTTTCATAAAACATCTACCGATGGAACTCTGATTTTACCAACCGACAAATTGTCAACGAAATATCTTGTTTCCTCAACAAAGCCATATTATTCGGGCAACAAGGAGTACCTCAGTCAGTTTGCTGTTGCAGCCGCACACGATAAAACGAAAGTAAACATCAGATTTAGAATGAAGAGCAATGCTTCCATTTCTCTACTTGGTGGAACATACAGAGACCAGGACCTATTCACAACATCTTTAGATAAATATGAAACTTTGCAAATCGGGCATACTACTGACCTAACAGGAACTTTTATTACATCTTCAGAACCAATAGCCGTATTCTCTGGAAACCGATGTCAGTATCTAAAACTCAGTGCATGTAGTCACATGGTAACTCAGTTACCTCCAACTACCGAGTTAGATAACCTTTACATTGTGCCCACATTCTATGATAATTCAGGGACATTGATTCAAGTAATCAGTGACAGCAAGAGTTCCGTACATGTCAGTATTTGAAGCAGGGAATCAACGTGGCACATGAAGGAAAAAGAATTCAGAAACATTGAAGAAACATCAGATGAAATCACTATTCTTGAGTCAGATAATCCCATCTTGGTAACTGGTTTTGGAATGGGTTCCGGCTATTATAACCCATATATGACCGTCATTCCTGGAATCCATCAATATATCGACTACTATAAGATTGTTGTGCCAGAAGGATATACAAATAACTATATCTGTGTGATAATTCCGAACAAATTTACCAACTATCTTCAGATAAACGGTTCCTCTTTTGATTATTACAAAACTGTCCGTCTGAGTTCTGCTGTCTTAGACACCACCTTTAGCATTCGTTTACTTGCCGTTAACAGCGGACCCTTGGTTGTATCTACAACAAATAAGGCAAACTTCGGGTTGATTATCTACGGAAATAGGTATGATGACGGGTATGGATTTGCTGGCAATTATGTACTTTCCTAAAATTTTAAAAGAAGGAAGATAAAAGTATGCTGCATTTATCGAGATTAATTATATTCATCATTTTTTAAGCAGTACATTTTGGTATTATGAATTATTATAACCGAGGAAGATATCTCTAATTTTACTTGCAGTCAAATTCAGGAAGATTTTAAGCTACACTACTGTATTAAATTTCCCCTTGGATTCCCCCCCCCCCCCAGAAAAAAACTCTGACGTTCCCACGTCAGTCCCTGACATTTTCCTGTCTCCCTCTGACTTTCTCCTATGATCCCCTGTCGTTGTCCCTGACTGACCCAGAAAAAAAGGTTAAAATTTGTTCTTGTTGCTTTTTACTTTGAGAAAATTGGTTTATTCCTCCAACGTCTACCCACTTAAAAAACTATCTAATTATCACACTCAATTAAGAGGCACTCTAAGGGGTCCAAGTAGAGTTTGCCTGTGTTATGTTGATTTAACAAAGTAGTCTGAATTAAATAATTTAATATTAACTGACAAAATTGTGTACTTAAGCACAGATTTATTGATTAAATACTTGCTTTAATTGAAGGCACTGAACAAATATTTCTTCATATAATAAATATTTTAATTTGAAATACATGTACATTAAAAATTCGAAAAAGAAACATTACTGCACAAGACATGTAAATAAATTAGGGATGGCAATCGATTACAGAATTGCTAATCGGTTAATCGCAAGACGTTCCTACCGATTAATCGGTTAACCGTATCAAAATACACATTTTCCCCCAAGTAAATCTATTCATATACACAAGGATACTAAAAAAGAAGTTAGAAGTTAGAAATTTTCTGTTTTTTTTTTTTCTTCATTTGGATGTACATATATTTTTCGTCATTTTCAAAAGACAAAAAGAAATCAAGAAAACCATGAACCTTGCCTCAGAGATCAGACATGAATTTTCCAGTGTAGATGTCGCACAAGTTCAGTCAAAACTATGCTCGAACTTCCACTTAATTTACGATGCTTCTTCTAATGAAATGATTTATACTGGTATTATTATAATTATCAGTCATATATGTTAAATGCAAACTTATATAGTATCATCAGCTCATTTATTTCTTCCCTACTTATTTTGTCTTTTTTAGAATATACACATGTATATATTTTTTCAATGTTATGTAATAAATATTTACTTGTAACATGTATGACTTGATCTGTATTATGGAGATAACTTATATAGGCAGTGCCTGCTGTCCAATCCTTATGTTTAATCATAATAAAATATTGTTCAAATGAATGATGTGATTTAATAGATATTGACACAAGATAGACATACTAATTCACAGTGCTCAACGGTGATTTATTTTTTATCATCAAAAAATTACGGGATAGTGGGGTAACGACGTAATGATTTTAAAGTCAGTATTAATTAACACTTCCCAAACTGACCAATCACATTCGGAGAGCCATAATTGCCTTCAATTTAGTTTGATAATAAGATTTGTAAAACGCTAAATTATCAACTTTTTATGCATGGTTTCTTTTTATAAAATGAATTAAAAATAAATTGCGCTCAAAAGTGCACAATTTTTTTTTTCGACTAACCGATTACGGATTTTTTAACCGATTACCATCGTTCCTACCGATTAAGGTCAGATGACACGTTCCTCAAAAATATATATTTTTTCCCAAGAATTCGTCATTGAAGTATTGCTACTTAAACAAGTTTCCTCACCAAAAATTGAGGTACCTTACAGGCATTTGGGCAAGATACCAGAGGGTGATATTTCCTATATAATCCATATAGGTAATGTTTTGAATTGCCAATGTTACAATTTCTGGTGTACTTATTTTAAAATACATATTGAAAACAATTAAGAAATCACAAGAGAATGACAATTATGAATATTTTTTGATATAATAACAATAACATATAATTGAGTAACGTGTCGTCTTACCTTAATCGGTTAACCGGTTACAAATTGCCATCCCTGTTGATGAATTATTTTCAAACATTACTTTTTTAACCTAACACTTGGCACTTGAAGCGTTTCTTACATCACATTTTAACATTTTAAGTTTTGTTTAAACTACATTGTATATTAAACAGGGAGAACTTTTTTTCACATCGCATTTGCAGACCCGAAGAACAAAGGGGAGGGGGCACATTTTTCTGAGTATAGATTTTTCCTGTTGTATAGTCCTATCCTCTAGATTTGATATGAAAATTTTCATTTAGATGCTGCCCCCCCCCCCCCCTACTTTTTGTTGTTGGTCGCTGGCGAATTCCAGCACTTGAAAAATATCTACAAACAGTTAGAAAAAATCCACCACTTCCCACATACGAACACACAAAATACGATTTTCATGGGTTGTTTTTTTTATTATTTAAATTGTGCTTGTCAGATTTCTTTGGAAAGTTGCCCCTTTCCCAAATGTTTAAACAAAGCTACCTGTTTGTTTGGAAGAAATATCTATATGTTAGAAACGTTTTATTTACATCAAAGTTCAGACACCTAGTATCGTTTTTGAAAGAGGGAGAGAGACAGAAAAAAATGACACCTTACCATTAAAAATATTATCCAAAATCCAATTTCGTACGTTGGAGGAGGGGGGTAAAAACTCAAAATAAAGTTTGGGTTTTTTTTTAGATAGTCGTATCTTACGCTTCTTGATACATTTTTACCATAATAAATTATTTTAAGATTCGAGTTTTATGAGTTTTATGATGCAAACTAACAAAGATTTTAAAATTTTTTATTGTTACAATATTTAAAATTATTGCTTTGAAACCGTGATGAAAACTAAATTAAATTAAAAATTATCTAAAGCATAATTTATTTTCATTTAATAAGATATATTGGAAGGAAATATGACATGTGATCGATAGATTTTTCCTCTTTAAGAAAGAATGTTACTTACATATTCACAGAAATTTTATTAAACCTCTTCTGAAATATGGCTTAAGTATGGAAAGATTGATATTAACTTCAAATAATTTTGGGGGCTTTTTCAGGAGAAAATGAAAAAAAATGTTTCATTGCAAATTAAATCCTTTAGAGTTTAAAGTCTGCCGTTAATAAATGCACAAAATAAACATATAATAAAACATGTCAAGAAAAGTCAGATAAGCTTTTTATTTTTTGATAAAAAATTACATATGAAAAATAAAGCATTGTTTTTAGTATTTTTTTTGTAAACCAATGGATAAAGTCTTAAGACTTTTCATTTCCTCTGAAAAAAATCCTGTAAAATAATAAATATCAATCTTTCCATTCTGAAACCATGTTTCAAGAAATGCCTTGAAAATAAAAAAAAAAAATAATAAAAATAAATAAATAAATAAATAAATTGCGGTAGAATTCCTCCTTCAATAAATGCAGATATAGTTAGTTCATAAAGGTATACTCTACCTGTACCCCTTAGAGGTCCCCTAATTGAGTGTGATAATTAGATTTTGGTTTTGACGAGTAGACGTTCGGGGAACACACCAGAAAATCAATACCTTACTCTTGAAAATTTTCATTTTTTGTGAAAATGTAGATTTAGTCATTAGTTATATCATTAGAAAGTGGGCGTAGTCTGTACGTCTTAGTTTATGACTGGCTACTTAAGAAAGTAGTTTATTTCTTTATTATAATCTCTTATTTTATATGAATGGAAGGACGGTGTCGCAAGCATTTTTTAACAAGTTGTTTTCCATGGCACCTGATCCGACCTTCTGATATCTTATGGGTCCGTGTTTGCTCTGCTCCTATTTTGTAATGTCTAATGGATTTTTGAGCTCGAATGCTGTTCATTTTCTTCACATATTTCATTTTAAGTTAAAGCTGTCATAAATATTTCTGTTTTACAGATATATTTTTGCTATTACATATAACTAGTTTTCTTATTTACTGTATCTTTTTTTTTTAAATTTACTTTCTATATGAACTACTTTCAATTTTTAAAATAAAATAATTGTAGTTGTCTATTCATTATCTTATTTTTCACACCATCGTCTTATGGTTCAATAACTTGGAAATAAATCGAACATATCAACAAACACTGTATAACAAGGATAAAAAAATATTTTGGTTGCGTCGCCATAAAGGCTTTTCTGTATTTTCTTTTAAAGAATAAACAAAGACATACTTTTTTCTGTAATTTTCCTAATTAAATACACTTACTATTTTAAATTTTCACTTAAAAAATGTTTCACACTTTTAAACAAATTGCTTTTATTTCGTCTACCATTCTTTTTACGTTCTTGTCGCTGTTGCTTCATATAAAAAATATACAATTTTTTCTCTTGACCGAATGATCAAACAAACAATAACAAAATAAGGTTTTATTTTGTTTGCAAGGAATTATTTTTTTTTTACATAGATTTCTTGGGCGTTTGGTTCACTAGGAAAAAAATACATTGAAAAGTAATCGGTAGAAGTGCACATAATTAGTGCAAAATATTACTTTATTTCTGTGCGCGTAATTGTTTTCCTTTTTATATAAATTTTCCATCAACGCATTTTAAGGGAAACTACAATCAAGAAAATTGTTAAGACAGCTAAAATTCCATCTACAATGTATAAATGTATCTGTCAAATTTTTAGAAATAAAAATCCCTTTTTAATTATTACCTAGAAAATGAATAATATGCACCCATGTATGTCCTCATAAATTTTGAAAACGAATAATTTATCCGTACCGGGTGATAGTCCCCCCGCCCCCATACCCTTTCCCCTTTTGTTTCCTTGTCAAAGTTAAACTTTTTATTGAAATCTAGAAGAAAAGCTGACTGCACATGAAATTCTGTTTATCTGCTGATTAAAACTGATTTATTGTTGTAGACTTACTGTTTAAGACAGTAAACTGTTGATACACGTGTGAATGTAGGCATATCTGGACTAACGGGATTAGATACGGTTCAATATACACAGCTTAAGTTTTTGCCTGTGCACGTGTGATGACAATACTTTATCGAAAATTTCAAATGCTTTAGAGTAAATAACGAAAGTATAGATAGACGTTAGTCTAGATAACGAGACCATGGCAAGAAATATACAGTGTTTCTTAAAAAAAAAAAAAACTTGGATGAATACGCATGCACGGATTAAGAATTTTTTAATAAGATTAAACTTGGATTTATGTGTAAATTCCAGGTAACATATTTTTACCTTAAGGTTTCAGTGATTAAAGGTTAAAGGAAATGAAATGGGAAAATGCTTTAAATAAAAATTAATCTGACATA